TCTGAACCAAGGTCTACGCCAGTACAGCTGACACCTAGTTGTGTGGTCGAATACAAGAATTTTCAAGTGATATAAGAAATATAACCGGTCTATAAAACCTATATTAACGGCCGTGGGGATCCGATGCGCTGACCACGCGACACCATCTATCCGCAAAAGTTGGCAATAACTTCGCCGACAAGCGGCGGTCGCTCCGTCGGTATAGTTCGCTTATGGACTAAAGGCTACGGAACAAAGCAATAATAATAATAATAATAATAATAATACATTATATATTGTAATTTTTATTATGTCCACCGTGAAAATTAGCCATTTTAAACTGAGTAAAAATTCACTCCACGAGTAACTTAATGATGCTGTATCGGTCTCTGAGATTAAGCAGATTTGAACGACAAGTATTGATATAATGACTGAAGCTCTCTGCGACGGGCAGGAAGCCGGAGTCCTCGCAGAAACTTGCGGTGGAATCACGAATAAGGAAAGCTCGAGAAGTTCTGTTCTAAACTTATGAATCCCACTTTTCTTCACATTCTTTCATTTGCATATGCAGATTGTGTAACTGTAAATTAACAGTCCATAATGTGTATGTATTCACCGTCTTCTAGTGCACTCAATCTCACTTGCCACTTCACTACATGTTTCGGCATCACTGTGCCATCCTCACGCAAGCAGCCACAAGAGGACACATCACAAGACGCAGTATACATAAAATATAGGAAGAACGACTCCCATAACGGAAGATTGATATAATACGCGAGTTTGAAATACGACGTATAAGATGATAAATCTTAACAAATTTTAATATATAAATTTTATTATAGTACATGACGAATATACATTTTAAATCATTTTATAAACGACATATGATGACAAGCAGTGCAATAGTTTAACGTAAATAACACACCTGAGGATGGCACAGTGATGCCGAAACATGTAGTGAAGTGACAAGTGAGATTGTGCGCACTAGAAGACGGTCAATACATACATATCATGGACGTGAATCAGTGCAACAGGACGCTAAAATACAACATTAGTAAATTAACAGTTATATAATTCAGTAATGTATACTTTTGTGATACATATGTTACCAGTATAAATTCTCGTAAGTTGTACTTATAATTTTCACTTAGAGAAATAATATTTTGAGAACTGTTTATTATCTAATCATACAAAATTTCACGAACCGACCTGCAGTTAGAAACGGAAAGACAACAGAGAATCCGTGAGGTCGCCATGTTGTTATATCACATTGTGCATGGGTACAGCTGTATCACCACAAGTTGCATATATTTTGAAAATATTTCCATTCACACAATATGACCCTGGGATATTAAGTGAATGTATTGTTCTTTTTTTTCAGTTTAATTTCTTGGGATGAGTTGCGACTCTGTCCACTTCCTACGTCGGCCACTAACTGGCCCAATGTACCAGCCCCGGGTGATGAGTGTGGAGCAGTCGATGAAATGAGAATTTTCAGGGAAAACTGAAGTACTGGAAGAAAAACTTCTCCAGTGCCACTTCGTCCACCACAAATCCGACATGATCTGTCTTGGGCTCTAACCTGGGCCGCCGCGGTGGGAAGCCAGCGACTAATCGCCTGAGCTATGGCACCGCCCCAGGTTGTAGTGTTGCTCAGGCTCGGAAGTTCGCATGGTTGCCATGTTGGTAAGTAGAACAAACCGTTTTCCATAATATCACTAATAAATTCATATAGCGTTTGAATGTATCAAACTGAGTTCCGCTACTGAATATAATACACATTTTTGTGTTTAAATGCATCTCATTTATAAATGAATATAGGCCTCAACAGTTTCAGTATAGCACTGTATGTGATATGTCTATTCGAAATCCCATTACGACACTTTGTATTGACGCCATTTTCTCGTCTTATTTCTCGTTTTGGGATACGATATTTCTGAACATAATGTAGCTTGCCCTGGGAACCTGGCGAGGTGTGTGCGCTGTGGGTTGCAGGAGCTTGGCTGCTCTGCGTGCTTGGTATTCAGGAGATGAAGTGCGTGAGGGCTGATTTAGTGTTTGGGAATGTCTGATATTTCATAGGCCAGAGCACAGCACCGTGGAGAAGCTGTCTGCCTATAAGGAACTGGCAACAAGAAGGAAAAGAGAAACTTGCGTCCTGTTTTTATAAAGATTTTATTCTTATTCTAGGTAAATTAATGGATTCCTTAGAGTACAGAAACTTGTAGAGATTTAATCTTTGGCTGTGTTGCAATACATCAAGCCAAATTTTATTCTTATATAAACCTACGGATCTGAAGCAAGCTTGGCACAGAATTATGAGAGAAATATTTTATGGGCGAAAGGTTGCCATTCTGTAACCCCTTAATGAACTGTACATCTTACGATCTCGAATCAGAGTAAAATAGGAATAAATTCAATCTTGTTTTGTTCTTTGCAAAATTAAACGCCCCACACTTTTGCCACTAGAATCAGAGAAGTTATGGGTTGTAATATTAATAAATTATTAAATACGAATGAAATTCTTCATTACGAAATAAAACCTAAACGGCGTGGAAAGGATTGCCTGGTCATCCAGTGATGCTGTCTGAATCTGGCGGTAGCGTAGCTACTGGCAGGGCCTCTCATCCTAAATAGGTTGCAGTCAAGGGACCAGATGAAGCGCTTTAGAACATGGTAGACGTGGCGCCAGAATCGTTAGAAGAGAGCTTATCTCTGGCATAAAGAGTTCTGGAGGCAAAGCCTTGACCCTCAAGACTGTGAAGGTCGAGATTCTCTCTATTCGAGAAAGCATTGATCCTCCATACTGAAGAAACATTCATCCTCCAGACTGGAGAAAGCCTTTATTTTCCAGGCTCGAGAAAGCCTTAATCCTCCACACGGGACAAACACTTGATCCTCCAGACTGGAGAAATATTCATCCTCCAGATTGAGGAAAGCTTTGATTCTCCGAATTGGAGCAACTCGTTATCATCCAGACCGTAGAAATCCTTTATCCTCCAGACTGGAGGAAGCCTTGATCTACCAGACTGGGGATTTTGCTAACAGCCGGTAATCCTACTAAGTAAAAAGTAATATTCATTTGCCTCATGCATTGAATCTGAATCGAACTACTACAACGAAGGGTCAGGAAATGGGCAAGAATTTTGCTAAAGAAAGAATTAGATGAAGAAATTTGTACGCAAGGAAGTTTGCGAAACTAACCTTAGGAAAATCCATAGGAATTACAAATGTAAAGTAGTCCCCGTACTTAATTAATTAAGCACTATGCCGTGAAGGCGTATGGGGGAGTGAGTGTATCGATCATATTTTCTTGACCTCGGCACTAGTTGGAGGTTAATAGTCAGCTTCACACTATGGCCGCTTTACTGGCCCGGAAAGAACCCACGGTACCCGTTGGATAGGAGGTTTGGTGGGTCCCAGAGCAGGTCTAGACGACGTCAAGAAGAAAACAAAATCTTGCCCCTACAGGGACTCGAACACCGATCCCTCGGCCGTCCAGCCTGTAGCTAGCCGCTGTACCGACTGCGCTATCCCAGCCCCTGTTCATAAGAATTTCTGAAACAAAGCTGCAAAAGGAAACAGCGGTACGTTCAGAAACCGAAAAATACCCGGATCCGAATGGAGGAGTACCTGGGGATAAACACGTGTAAGCTACTGTGAAGTACCAGACAAAAAGAAAGGAAATACAGTTGTAGCGGTACTATCTAATATCTTGTAGGTGGAGCTTCAAGCTCCTGCCTCGACATTTCAGCGGAGAGTCATTGTAGTGGTGAAAGAGAATTCGCTGCTAGAATACAAAAGAACACACGTGTACAATACAAAATGGAAAGCTGTAACAGGGAATGTTGTGCTATCTATCTATCTATCTATCTATCTATCTATCTATCTATCTCTGTTGCTGCCACTTTGAACATAGGACATCAGTGAAACGCTTCGTTTCACTTCAATTTCATAATGTTAAGACAGTCGGTAGGACTCCTTGTACGGGGGATCAGCACTACGTAAAGGCTGCTACCTACACACAGAAGAACACAAACACAGTATAAAAGCAGACAGACATCCATCCATGCCTTGAGTTGGATTCGAAACCGCGAACCCAGCGTTCGAACGGGCGAAAACATTTCATACCTTAGACCGCACTCACTGTGACCGGCTTTATATTTCAGTAGTTGAATATAATTTACAAGAACATTAGAACGTAATCTCTAAGCCTGTGAAGTGTATATATAAACGAGATATTATGAGGAAACGGCTACATAGTGCGATACGGCAGAAACTCATAAGTGAATAAATCATAATAAAATATCAGAATTAGGCGAATCTCTAAAGATCAAGAAAAATTATGTGCGCACCTGAAAACGACTAGCTCTGTACAGAACTGTTTAAATATGCCTATTTATCGAAGAAACGAAATATACATAAATGGAATTCTTATGCTGATGTTGGAAATTATGGGTTATGCTCGAAGATTAACATGAGGCTATGATAAACGTAAAATGTAGTTATGAAGAAAGACGAGAACGTGTCCATTACCAAGTAGTCAACAGGTTTATAGTGAATTCTGTGTAAATGATTTATTCTGAAATAATTAATACAGTATTAATGTTAGTAGGTGCCGGTCACCGTAGCTGAGCGATGTAAGGCATGTACTGTATTCGCTCGCTTGGAAGCAGGGATCCTGGGTTCGAATCTCACAAAAGGCATGGATGTTTGGTGTGTGTGTATGTGTTTATTCTGTGTTTGCGTTGTCCTGTGTTTAGGGAGAGGTCTTGCGACGACCTAGTCACTCGTCCAAAGGTCCTACCGTCTGCGAACACTGAAAATTAGAGGCCAGGGACAAAGGGGGCTGCAGAGCCATTGAAAAAAAAAATGTCAGTAGCTGGAAATCCGAGCCGAGCAATGTTCAGGTAATAGTCTCAATGTTAGTGGAGGTGCTGCGATCTACACGGAATTTTTTATAAGAGAAAAGGCTCCGTGTTTTTCGTCGGAGCATTTGATAGAATAAGAGATACCCAAAGATAGATTTTTAATTAAATGAGGCTATGCATTATATCTGATAGCAGTAAGAAAGATATAGGGGGCTATTAATTGCTTTAAATTTGTATTCTATTGGACGTAACAAGGAAAACTGAAGTAATTATAAAATCATTAATTTAGAACGTCTTTCAGGATGTCTGCAAAGATGTAGTAGACTCCTAGGCTATCTACTTTTGTTCTTCCATATTTTTTCCTACATTGATGATGTATTATTATGACAAGTAAATGTACCTGTTTCCATGTTTTTAAATTACCATAAGACTCAAATATTGGAAAACAGTTTCAGAATGAAGTTTTTTTTTATCACATGTGTGCGTGACTAGAAACGGGTTTTGGATTAGTAACTGGATTTATTGAACAATTACAGATCGTAACTACAATAAACTACAGCGTTATCCCTAATTCATACTCCCTGCATTTCGCAACAAACATACTAAATCTTCTCAGTCTACTGTGTCTTCACCAACCGTTGCCTGATAACGAATCCCAACAATATCCCCTGCTTCNCTTTTTCTTCTACCCTGAAGATGGAGGCGATACGTTCCTCCGAAACGTCGGTTAACACCACATATACACGGTGCCAAATCCCAGAAGACTGCTTTCTTCGACTAACTCATTGTCCAAGTCCAATTCACATTGCAATTGACGGTCAGTTAGTCAGTAAGTTTTGGTGTCGACCCCATCTGGGGCTCATGACCAGATATTTATTACTGTTTGGCATTTACGGTCTAGCTTTTGTGGGACGCCCTCTCTGACGAGAAGACGGGTCTGCCCTTTGTATATGCTTCTGGCTCCTGCCAGTGCAGTCCTTCTCGGGCCTGAGTCCATTTGGACTCGCGAACATATTTTACTGTCTCAGATTTGAGACTTCCCTTTTCGTCGCCTCCTACGACTCCCAGGGTAACGGTGGAGGTATTCGACCCCGCCTCCACACGGGGGTGACTCATTGCTCCAGTTGTCCTGCTTATAACATATCTGTACGGACCGTACAGAAAACACCGTTCCTTTCTTGCTGTTCAATTTCTGCTTAACGAACATCGTAGAAAACGCAATTCCTCTGTTGTTGTTTGCTTGGCGCTGCCTAGCAACGGTCGCTGTACGGTAGCCTGCATCGCGGTCGCCGCCTAGCAATGGGTCTGCATTGCACAGTAACATCAGTCATATCAAGTTGTGGCACTGTTTGAGTGTTTTCATATCTTCATTGATATCTCCCCAGAACTGGACATACCGACTTTTGTTTCCTGTTTCGTAAAGCGTTCACTACAGCCACTTGCTCAAGCTTGTAGCAGTAATCTCTGTTGAATCTCTCGGAGAGCTGCTTCGTTCTTCTTGTGCTATCTTCCCATCACGTGCAGATAGCTACATATTCTGTACCGTTCTGCATTCTAATATAGTACAAGACGGCCATCGTTTATTTCTTCTCATGTTCCTGTCTTATATTTCCACTAATTTTATAAAAATTTAGAAAAATAAATTCCTTCAGTTAACATTTGATTCCCTCGTTACATAGGTGACATGTAACTTTATCCTCTCCTGTAAGGACAACGTGTCTTTGCCAGCCAAGTTTCAAACGATACGTTTTAAGAAGATGCGCATTTTCTTCGTCTGTAAGTTGTAGGTAGAATGCAGGTCAAAATCATGACATC